ATGTCCGTTCTTGCGACACGAAAACGCGTGACAAGGACCACAAGGGCTCACGACGCCCGCCTTTTGCCATATTATGGGTTGTAGATGCGCTGGTAACTGTGTCTTGCTCGTTCACTATGCCTCTGACCTTTAGGTTTAAAAAAGGGGCTCTTCCGCGGTCCCTTCGAACCTCTGTTTTTTTTGGAGAACAATAATTATAGTTGGTCGTGGAATGTGCCGATGAGCCATCTGTTAAGTTTCGGAAGGTATTCAAAACGATCTGTGAGTAAAAATTGACCGGAAAAGCTGAAAAAATATTACCTCAACCAGCAACTGGGAGCCTTTCGGTTGCCCACAATTGGACGGGTTAAATGTGGACTAGCCCTCAAAATCTGAACAATGTCCGTCCAACTTGGCTCAGCATTTACTTACCATTTTCTTACTATTTTCGTGAGTGTGGTTTGTTGCCAAGATGGCCTATTCGCAGATCATCCTAAATTTGGCTGGATTTGGCTTTCTCTGCTTGGTCACGATCATGAAAGTGGTGTAATTCATGCGGATTCGGATTTCCAAAGTTTTCTACTCAACAATAAGAAGAAGGTAAATGTTTTTGAATTACTAACAAAATTTTGAAGAAAGAATAGTTCGCAAAAATCGTCCTTTAATAACATTCCTTCTGTTCTGCTTTTACAAACGCGACTGAGTAGTGAAGGTCATGTCCTTGATTGTTCCACTCAGGCTCGTTTGTAGGGCTGCAGCTCAATTCGCCCGTCTTTTCTACAAAAAGAGACCATCTCTCGTATAGTAAACATATTGAAGACGTTGCTACTACTTTTCAGTATTTTTGAACCTCATAAAACGCCTACTTATACGAACACAACAAAACAAAAAGGAATTTCCGTTCTACTACATTCGGACGTAGATTAGTGGCAGAAAAGGCCAAGAGCTCCATGTGTCAGAAGTAACACCACGGGGCGTTTCCCGCCGTCTCGCGCCCACTGTACGTGTGACAGTATGTGGGTGAGGGTTCACGATTAGGAACATTTTTCATGAGACGGGCCGTCCTTCGTGACTTTGAGAATTCGAGTTAGTTGTATTGAACGAAAAAACTTGTCTTCATGCGATTTGACGTTCTTACTTGGGCCCCTAAAGATTTCATAGTGTCTGTAGTGAAAGTTTCAGTAGTTTTGAATAAGAAATTTGGAAATCCTGCTATGTAAAACAGCAGTGGCTAACACTTGTAAAGTCGCAGATGTCGTTAAGAAAAAGTCCAGGATCATATTTTTGCGCAGCTAGCTAATGGCATTTATTTCATGTGATCTTCATTCAGTACATACAGTACGGATTCAGGAGATGGAAGGGGTTAAAATTTTCTAGTGGTTGGGTAATCCTTCATGTCGTTCTCTTTATAAAAATGTGTTTTAAGCTCGACGAATCTTTCGTGATCTTCATGGGAGACCATGGCCTGCGTGGTGGCAAGGTTAGTTAACATTGTAACGCATGACAAGACAGCTTTTGGTCTCATCCAGTAAGGGGGCATGTGGTGTGACAGTTCTTGCCGGCTACAGAAATTCCAATTTTTGCAAGGGGAGGAATCCCGGGGTGCGTGAACCATTTCGCTTAAACTTTTACACCCACCCCGGAGCTTCCCTCCCCTGAAAAAAGTTGGATTACTTCATGCAATATGAACATCGACACAAGCCTTTACTAGAGAGATCCATTGTTGAATGTTTGAAACGATTCGTTAGATTCTCTTATTTTTATTGGCTGTAGATCTAAATGGGAAAAAGCTGTTTCTAAAAAGGCAGAAAATTCTGGCTTAAAATGAAAGGATATGTATAAAGCTTACAAAGTGCCCACAATGAACGGAACGTTCCCTGAGTAGGTGCGGTTTCCTGCCTCCTCATAAGGCCGGTTTCGCAAAGAGGGTAGAGGTTTAATACGGGAACGCGAAATGTTATGGGTAGGTGGGCAGACACGTGAATGGGCGAACTTTGCCACGTTTGTCTCATTGTTCAGTATTTGAGAATACTGGAACAAAAATGAAAAACGGCAGAGGAGAGAGGCAGGTGTAAGTTATACGAGCACGGGGTGCGGGACTTTTGGCTCGTCCGGACTGGCACGCGGCGAGTTGCGCGGCGGCACGCGCGGCGATCTGGACGGGACAAGGCTTCGCGGGTTCTTCGGGTAGAATTCAACACGTTAATGCGTGTGCAGATTGCGAATAAACTCCGCATGGTTCTGCTGTTTGAAAATCTTTCCGCTCACGGGGATTGGAGGCAGCAGTATCGGTGAGGAGATTTCAGCGCAAGAGATGAGTGAGGACCCTCATGTAAATGTAACTACTACCATCAAAGCAAATAAGAGTCACTAAAATTGGGAGTTCTTGTTGAGGTTCAATGCACTGTATATGTTTTGCTGGTCGAGGCGCTCACGTCCAGAGGAGAATCATTCAAAACAACAAAACAAGTATGATAGTCGGCACTAAGCCAAGCAGAGGAGAGAACGCAGGAACCCTTCTGCTGGCTTGTCCTAGGGTACTAGCGCCCAGACACATTATTGTCTCACCGGTGAAACTCCAGTTCGGGGGGGGGCACTCCATGTTTCTTCAAGACTCATATAAGGATTATAGGCTCAGAACGACCAAATTAAAGGACGAATTCACGATGAAAAAGCAACCCATTTCAAATTAACCTAGGGATGGTGAGTGGTACACGAAAGAAGGAAGAACCATGAGAAACGGCCCAGAACCCGAGAAATGGTACCCCTTCCTTGCCCGTTGATTCGAGCATTGATGCGACTCTCATCGCTGTGCCCTCTTCAACACTACGCTCTCTCAGCTATCTAATCACTCGCCACGTATTGAACTACGGCGAGTGATCAGATGATCGGTGGGCGGAGATCGCCGGACCCGCCAGCTTTGAGGCATGATAGGTCGCCGAGGTCAAATTTTTCCATGCGAATTGCGCGTCAGTTCGCACCCTCAGGAGGTCCGTGGGTCCCTCAACTAGGTCAGTTTCCCTTTCTTCGACCTTCATTCTAATCGTGAATTCCTCCTTTAAAGTAGACTTCTGATAAAAAATACTGGTGTAATGGGTGAGAAACCCTGAAACGTTTTCACATTTCCGCCTGCCATGACCCAAGGGAACGGTCCTGGACCAGGAGAAAGGACACCTCCGCAAAGGGCTAAGGGTGCAGGAGCTCCAGGGTGGATCACCTGTGCAGAAAAGTGGATGGGATGTGGGCAGGTAGTGTGGAATGTAGGACATCCACCGGTCCTTATCAAAAGTACGCTCGAAATGAGTCGTTCACTTATTATCTTATCCGTAGTGTTCGATAGCCCAAAGAACTGCTCTCTAGTACTACGGATAAGATAGCAATGGAGTGCCCCCCCGAACTGGAGTTTCACCTTTTCAGCATCCCCAAATATAACGTCCCCCCAACAACATGACCCCCTGATTGCCATAACAGCACTATGCTAGTTCCTTCTCATCTCTTCCTATTGCTACAACCACCGCTGTCCTCAAAATTCCAGCCGTTCAGATGCATTTCGAATTGCAGAACCTTGCGGATTTTATCCGCAATCTTCACACGTTGACGTGTTGAATTCCCGCGATGCGTCGGGATCGCCGCGCCGCTCGCCGCGCAGTTTCGCGTGCCAAAGGATCACGACCATGGACCAGTGGGCGGGACCGGAAGTTTTTGTGACGAAATGCATGGTAGGTACGGATCCACGTGTCGAACGCACGAACGTGAACAGGATTCACTTCAAACCTTCCCATGAACGTGGATCCGTACCTACCATGCATTTCGTCGCAAAACCACTTCCGGTCCCGCCCACTGGTCCATGGTCCGTGGAAGATTCCTTTAACCAGCAAGAGCCAAAAGTCCGTCGCCCGCGCCGAGTGTGCATCATGGTGGGCAAAGTTGAAAGCGAGAATTCAGGCTGCCCGATTCATGTAGCAATGGAACCTTGTTGCTAGAGGCCAGTACTGAACGGTTATCTATGAGGCTATAGCAGCTTTTAAGTGTTCTCGCCAAATTCTAAGTATCTGACTAGTGTGATGAGCTGGGCTGTGACATGAATCCATGCGCTCGATCCTTACAGCCAGCTACAAGGATCAAAGGAAACCTCATGGTAATAGGCTGGGCTTTCAAAGACGTATAGCTTCAAATAATATACTCCTATAGTACGAACGTAAACACTTAAGAGTGAGACTGGCCGCCTTCAACTCCACGTTCATCTCGGTGTGTAATGTGAACATAATTGTTCGATCCAAACACTTTCTATAGAAGCTTAGGTTACATAAAACTATAATAAACTACCAAATTTTTACCCCTACGTTCTAATGAAATGATTGACTTTAGGTAACTCGTACGAAACTCGGCAGTCTAGAGATGAATAATCCGATGTTCTCGATGTCAGTACCAAAATCGCTTCGAGAAAACACAGACATTCTCAATATTCTTCGGGAAAATGCAGCTCGTCTACAGACACCCTACGATATTCGTGCAACTCTGCTGGATATTCTCAAGGTAGGCTGAATCAAAATAATTGGGTTGAGTTCCCAAAGCTCATCACTAATGTAGTCATTCAGCTATAAAATTTATCTTTAGACTACCCCGTAATTGGCTCTGTACCCCCCCCCCCTCCTCCATCCCTCTCGCGTCTTTTCGTGTATGATAGCCGCTCAACAGAGAGAGCGTTAGCGCTGAAGAGGGAGCACCGATGAGAGTCGCGTCATCAACGGGCAAGGAAGGTCCCATTTCTCGGGTTCTGGGCCGTTTTTCATGGTTTTCCTTCTTTCGTGTATCACTGACCATCTCTAGCTTAATTTGAATGGGTTGCCTTTTCATCGTAAATCCGCCTTTAAAGGCAGCGATTACGATAAAGAGGAGCGCATCGGGGAAGCATATGCACCACACGAATCAGTTACTTGGCTGCCAGGGAAGCGAGGTGTAGCGCTTTCACGACGAAAGGTGCGCTGGTTGCTGAGCAGGACTTCGAAAGCACTCCGCCCCCAAAAGCGATCCGCCCACTAGTTTAGTTGGTGATTTGGACGAGCTGCGTTGCCAGCAGCGGCAACTCGATTGAGCGTGGTTTGGCATGGTGCCACCAAACGCGTTGCGATGAACTCGTTCATACGTCCGCTTTCTGAGCTGTTACCTGTTCATGAGTGAAAACCAACGGCCAAAAAAGGGGGTCCCGTTTTGCGTTTTCTTGACGGATTTCTCTGCTTTTTTCGCCACTGGCGTACCATTGAGCACCACCACGTCTCTAAACCCTTCTTGAACCTATCGTAATCGCTGCTTTTAAGAAATCAATAGGAATCTCTGCGATAAGATACAACAAGATAGGAGTGGGGTAGAAAGTTGCTTTACCCTGGAGATTTGCTTGCTACAGAATATGTCCGAATGTTTATCATTCATGTTCTCATCGTTAACTTGTACACTGTTGGATCGTCCAGACGTGAAGTTCCTTTGAATACATTCGATCCTTGAATAAACAAGCCTGTCGGCAAAGTCGGTTGGGTGACGCAATTCGGAGAAGAGTTGCTCTGTGCTGAGCATTCCTCCTTCAATCACTGCTTCGCTTCATGTTTCTTAACTTTTTCATCCAAGTTTCAGTCTCTCAATTTCAATATTTATTTCAGTACCAACCTGCTGCAAACTTCACTGATCGGCAATACATGAAAATCCCTGGAGAATACGGTGCATCATTTTTGCGATCACAAACTGATGAGGAGAGGACATGCAAAAATCTGCCGATTCCCATCTCGTACTGCACATGTCAATATCCTATGAAACAGCTGGACAGGTGACCCCTTTGAGGCGTTTATTCGATTACCCATTATTTCCATATTTTGAACCATAGCTTCGATGTTCCACGCTCATACTTGAATTACAACGGTTTCTTGCCCCCAAACTTGACTGCTTGAGCTCGTTTTATTACCTTATCACAGTCTTGACAGTCTTCTACAAACTAATACACTTTATTAATTCCATCTACATCTTTTTATAAGAGGTTTTTTTTGTGAGTGATTTATCTCGCCACATCATTTCCCACCTGCCATGAATTCGTCGAGCCACGACCTCCCTCTGCTGAACGAAATTCCTTTGGCCATTCCCCAGTATAACTAGAATTTACCTTGCACCCGAAGGTCCATCGAAGAGGAAAGGCTGAGCGGGAGGACATGCCTCAAAATTTCCTTGTTCTCTAGATTTTCTTAAAATTTTCACTGAACCCTCGAAAGTTTCCGCTTCTCATCTGCCAAAAATGCTATGCCCACTTCGCTGAACACGGTTCGATCCCCTAAAACCACAAATAAGACTCCTCTAGTTGGTTTCTGCTCAAGGTATGCCCCTGCCCACCATATTCTTAGTATACAACATTTGCCAACTATTCTGCCTACTACGTCTAAAACAAAAAGCGCCTGCTCATGACCTGAAGGAATGGTATTAGTGTATCGCACTAACTTGAACCTTCGAAGATCAAATCCTTAGCCAGGCCAAGACTGCATTCCTCCCATTGGGTAAGTCTCAGCGTGCAACAAATTCTGCAGGGACGTTTGGGATAGATCTTCGTCCTCTATTCCCAACGCATAAGGTCAATGCGGCGCATTCATTATAGACGTGATATCTCACGAACGAATCTTCCATCATACCGAACGCCAGCGCTGCATTCAGCGCGTTCGTGGATGTAATGGTTAGCATGGATGCCTTCCAAGCATTCGACGGGGGTTCGATTCCCCCCGAACGCAGTTGTTTTGCAAATTAATTGGGGAGCTCAACTTTGAAAGACCGCTTCGACTATTTGAGGGGATCATCCATTTGCTCTCCAAGGCTAGCGGTAAGAATGACAGCGCCGCGGATCGTGTCATCACCTCACAATTTTCCCAAAAAAAAAAAAACATACTTCTATAGTATTGAGGTGTAAAGCGAAGGAAATCCTGGGATGATTTCACATTTCCGCCTGACACGGTCCAAGAATACGGACGTGGTCCAGAGGAATGAAATCATTGCCTACGTCTGAGGGTGGAGGAGATCCAGGGTGGATGACCAGGCACGGAAAATTGGATAGGATGAAGAATAATGGAATGTTGAACTCACCGGTCTTTATCAATAAACCCCTTGAATAAGCCGCTCGCCTTTCTTTTGTTAGATAACCGTAGAAGTGGATAAGATTCTGGCACTAGGATAAGATAACAAGAACCTGCACCCCAAGCTCCATTTCCACTTTACTTGATTGCATAAATCTGCCGTCATATTCGTCATTCATTCCACAATTACAGCACTTCAAGCCTTGGGTACGAACTGTCAACCGTTTTGTTTGGACGTGTAGTTTTAGGTATGCAAAAGGCGAAAAAAATCTCTCACTGAACCTTGCGTAGGCCGAAATGCAGCCGAATCAAACAGAAACACGTATAGAGGCATACAAAAAGACGACAGACAATCAAGAGACGCTAATCTTTTTGCCCCCCTTATACTTATCAGACCCATTATCACTGGTTTCACGTACCTAGAAACTTCTTTGCTCAAGCTTTCCTGTAATTCGTTTTCAGGTCGGTGCCACAGGCTACGGAAGCAGGAAGATACCTCTTGCAGCATGTGAACTCAGTTCTCAGGGAACGTAATGTGACTGATCTCTGCGAAACTTTGCGATACCGCTATGTAAGGTTATTGCATATAAAAGATCTAGAACGATTTTACATCGATGACAGGCATAGGGATCAAATCTTGGGATAACGTGTTAGGCTATCATGGCGTGAATCTTATCACTTCGGATCAATCAGCTCATAGCTAAGGGGATGAAAATAGCAGAATTGGTGGGGTCCTTTCAAGTGCTGACTGGAACTGCTCTGTGTGGTTGAGCTGATCGTGGACATTTGAGGCGAGTGTGAAAAGGATGCGAGGGTCTCCGGTGCAAGGACGGCATCAGGGGCAAATAAGCTAGAGCAAAAGTCCCGCAACGTATGGAAGACTTTCGTTGTAACATTAAAGTTGGAACAGCGTCCCTGTGCTTGTTGAGTAGAAGCAAGGAGCAAGGAGGAAATCGATTCGGTGTTATAGGACAAGGAGGTAGCCGTATGCATCGAGGGACATTGCCCGTGGTTTCGAAACCGTCCGTTCTTTGTGACAGTCTCAGGACAACGAGCGGTGTCGTTGTGATTATTTCTGGACGTTTACGCGATTCGATTGTGAAGCATCGTTGTCGCTGTCATGTAGAGCAGCTTCAATACCACTCTTGTCTGCGTACGCTGCACAGACTGGCTTCTCAGAGCAAGCCAGGGACTGTTCTTGGCCCTGCTGATGAGAGAACAGCTACCATAAAAACTGAGGTACCATCAGGGGATACTACTGTTGTCGCAGGTGACCATAATGGCACGTTGGGGCTACGAAAGATGGTTACAGCTGTCATGGTGGTTTGGTTATGGGTCACGAAACGCCGATGGCGAGCGAATTCTTGAGTATGCAACTCGCACAACCTCACCATCGTGAACACAAACTATCGTAAACGTGACTCTCATCACGTTCTACAGCGGTAATACCAGAACGCAGATTGATTTCGTACTCGTCAAGGCAGCGTGATCGAGGGCTAAAGGTGTTTCAAACGCAGTGTCATACGGGACAGTCGCCACGCAACATCGACCCTGAAGGTAACTCCTTCAGAGGTGAAGAAAGTCGAACGGTATGGGAGCAAGTGGTGGCAACAGACGGGAAAGGAATCTGCTCTGTCTCTTTCGACAGAAACGGCTGCCGAGGAAACTTGGGGAGGTGATACCGAAGTGATGGCCTGTGTCGTTCGCTCACAACTTGGAATTACCTCCAAGTTATTATACTTTTTTTTAGCTAACTAGCCTGGACGGGGAAAAGGAACAAGAAGGCATGGCTGTGGACCGACACTGTCAAAGAAGAAGTACGGGAGATATCATATGCTCCTTGACATGACGTCTCTGTCACTTTGCTATGTATAATGCTTTCCAACCTTGTATGTCAAGTTCGCGTTGAAATACGCACTTCGAACGACATAACTGCCTTCTACGAAATCCATATTCGACTCTTGCTCTGCCACGAAATGATTGCTCCAGCCGCCGGCTTTTGTCCTCTTGCTCATGCGCTCTTGCTCCTGCAACATGGAGGCAAAGGACGCCGTTTACTTGAACGATTTCGGCTGCTGCACTCCTCCGACGCTCGAACATAGTGAGCAAAATAAGGACCCATTTTATAGGTCCAGGGTACCTATCTTGGTTTAGCCTCCACTGGCGCTCCAGTTGACTGCTAGAAAAAATATGTTTCGGCCACTAGCCAATTCAGCTTGCCCGGTGCCTTCAAATCTGCATGCTCGAGCACAACAAATGTGTAAAAATTCATCTGCATAGGAAAACACTATCTGCAATTGTGTAGTTGTTAGCAACTTCTGAAACGAAAATGTTACAGACAATGACAATCTC